AGTCCCAAGGATTCCTTAGGATCCCGCAGGAATCCTGGGGAACCCCAAGGATTCTTCTGGATCTCCCCATGGGGTTCTCAGGATTCCGTTGGGCCCCCTCAGGATTCTTCAGGATATCAGCGAATTTTTCGGGATCCCGAAGGATTCCTCAGGACACGTCAGAACTCCTCAGGACTCTCCAGGATTCCGGAGGAATCCCCAGGACCCTCCCCCCAAATGAGTCCGATGGATTCTTCCTCAGGACCCACAGCGATTCTTCAGGATCCCCAGAGATTCCTCAGGATGCTGAGGGCCTCCTTAGGTTTCCCAAGGATTCCTCAGGATCCCCTCTGTGTACCCCTCAGGATCCCTCCAGACTCCTTAGCATTTTTCAGGATTCCAAATGATTAATCATCCGCAAGGCTTCCTCTTGGACTCATCAGGGCTCCTCAGGATTCGTCAGGATTCCTCAGGATCCCTCAGGATTCCTCAGGATTCCTCCCGAGGATTCCTCAGGATCCCCTAGGCTTTTGCTGGGCTCATCTGGATTCCTTTGCATTCGTCAGGATTCCTCAGGACACCTCAGGGCTCCTCAGGATTCCCGAGGACTCCTCAGGATTCCCCAGGACCCCCCCCTCCAAAAGAGTCCTATGGATTCCTCCTCAGGATCCACGATGGTTCCTTAGGATCCCCCAAGGTTCCTCAGGATGCCTGAAGACCACAAAGGAGCCCTGAGGATTCCTCAGGATCCCTTCAGGTACCTCTCAGCATTCCTCAGGACTCCTTCGCATTCTTCAGGATCCCCCAAGGTTGCCCAGGACCCACAAGGATTCCTCAGGATCCCCTAGGCTTCCTCTGGGCTCTCATCAGGGCTCCTCAGGATTCGCAAGGATTCCTCAGGACCCTTCAAGATTCCTCGGGATTCCCCCCGAGTCCCCAGGATTCCTTAGGATCCCACAAGAACCCGTGAGACACCCAGGGATTTTTCTGGATCTCCCCATGGGATTCTCAGGATTCCGTTGGGCTCCTCAGGACTCTTCATGATATTTTGAATTCTTCAGGATCCCTTAGGATTCCTCAGGACACGTCAGGACTCCTACCCCCCAGGATTCCGGAGGACTTCCCAAGACCCTTCCCCCCCAAATGATTCCGATGCATTCTTCCTCAGGACCCACAACGACTCTTCGAGATCCCCGCAGATTCCTCAGGATGCTGAAGGCCTCCTTAAGTTTCCCAAGGATTCCTCAGGATCCCCTCTGGGTACCCATCAGGATTCCTCCGAACTCCTTAGCATTCTTCAGAATTCCAAAGGATTAATCAGGATCCCCAAGGCCACATCTGGACTCATCAGGACTCCTCAGGATTCGTCAGGATTCTTCAGGGTCCCTCATGATTCCTCAGGATTCCTCCCGAGGCCCCAGGGTTCCTCAGGATCCCACAGGAACCCTTGGGACCCCAACGGATTCTTCAGGATCTCCCTCGGGTTTGTCAGGATTCCGCTGGGCTCTTCAGGAATCCTCAGGACATCCTCGGATTCCTCAGGATCCCCTAGGCTTCTGCTGGGCTCATCTGGATTCCTTTGGATTCGTCAGGATTCCACAGGACACCTCAGGACTCCCCAGGATTCGGAGGACTCCTCAGGATTCCCCAGGATTCCCCCTTTCCAATCGAGTCCTGTGGATTCCTCCTCAGGATCCACGATGATTCCCTAGGATCCCCCAATGTTCCTCAGGATGCCTGAAGACCCCGAAGGAGCCACAAGGATCCCCTCAGGGTGCCCTTCAGGATTCCTCAGGACTCCTTCGCATTCTTCAGGATTCCCCAGGATTTCCCAAGACCCACAAGGATTCCTCAAGATCCCCTAGGCTTCCTTTGGGCTCTCATCAGGACTCCTCGGGATTTGCAAGGATTCCTTCACGATTCTTGGAGGATTCCGCCCGAGCCCCCAGGATTCCACAAGATCCCACAGGAACCCGTGGGACTCCCAGGGGTTCTTCAGGATCTCCCCAGGATTTCTCAGGATCCCGAGGGGTTGCTCAGGATTCCGCAGGATATCTCAGAATTGTTCAGGACCCCCTAGGATTCCTCAGGACACGTCAGGATTCCTCAGGACCCCCAAGGACTCCTCAGGGTTCACCAGGACCCCCCCCCCTCCAAAGAGTCAGATGGCTTCCTCCTCAGGATCCACACTGATGCCTCAGGATCCTCCTCCAAGGTTTTCCAGGATGCCTGAAGGCCCCTACGATCCCACAGGATTCCTCAGGATCCCCTCAGGACACCATCAACCCTTCAGGATTTCTCATGATCACTTAGCATTCTTCAGACTTGCACATGAACCCTCAGGACACACAATGACTCTTCAGGATCCCCTAGGCTTCCTCAGGTTTCATCGGGACTCCTCAGGATTCGTCAGGATTCTTCAGGATCCCTCAGGATACGTCAGGATTCCCGAGAGAGCAGATTTCCTCAGCACCTCATAGAAATCCTTTGGATTCCACAAGCATTATCCAGGATCTCGCCAGGGTTGCTCAGGATCTTGCGGGCCTGCTCAGGGTTCCTTGGGATATCTTAAAATTCTTCGGGGCCCCCAAGGATTCATAAGGACACCTCAGGATTCCTCATGGCTCCCGAGGACTCCTCAGGATCACCGTCGTCGTCGTCGTCGTCGTCGTCGTCGTCGCCGTCGTCGTCGTCGATGTCGTCGTCGTCGTCGTCGTCGTCGTCGTCGTCGTCGTCGTCGTCGTCGTCGTCGTCGTCGTCGTCGTGAGGGTCCCTGAGAGTGTCTTAGCTGCACACGGGGCCAGAGAAGGGGATAGCGCACGGGGAGCGTTTTCTGTGGAGGGAACAGCACCGATGACGGGGCATACGGGGCCGGAGTGTACGTGTGCCCGCCGCGGCGCGAGACCGCCGCTGATGGCCTCTCGCAGCGCCGGAGAAGTCGTTGTCACACACAGCCTCAGGCTAACAGACACACGGGGCTGGAGTGTGCGACCGTCCACCGGCGGAGTGACACCAGAGTCTCCGGCCCTTACCGGGGCCGGAGTGCACGCCTTTCCGTTGTTGTTGTTGTTGTTGTTGTTGTTGTTGTGGTTGTGGTTGTTGTTGGTGTTGTTGTTGTTGCTGCTGTTGTTGTGGTTGTTGTTGCTGCTGCTGTTGTTGTGGTTGTTGTTGTGGTTGCGGTTGCGGTTGCGGGTGTGGTTGTGGTTGTGGTTGTGGTTGTTGTTGTTGTTGTTGTTGTTGTTGTTGTTGTTGTGGTTGTGGTTGTCGTTGTCGTTGTGGTTGTGGTTGTGGTTGTGGTTGTGGTTGTGGTTATGGTTGTGGTTGTTGTTGTTGTTGTTGTGGTTGTTGTTGTTGTCGTTGTTGTTGTCGTTGTCGTTGTCGTTGTCGTTGTCGTTGTTGCTGTTGCTGTTGCTGTTGCTGTTGTTGTTGTTGTTGTTGTTGTTGTTGTTGTTGTTGTTGTTGTTGTTGTTGTTGTTGTTGTTGTTGTTGTGGTTGTTGTTGTTGTTGTTGTTGTTGTTGTTGTTGTTGTTGTTGTTGTTGTTGTTGTTGTTGTTGTTCGGTAAGGCGTTGACAGCGGCCCCGGCTTGTTGTTGAGATCTTCTTGTTCTCTCAAAACTCAAGTGGTTATCCTTAAGGGTAAGCAAAGCTCCAGTAGCCGAGGGCTTGCCCCACGGGGCCAGAGAAGAGGTTGGCCCTGGGGCGGCAGCGCAAGGTGCCCCACGGGGCCGGAGAAGCGGTCGGCATTCTTGTCGCGTTTCCAGAGGTTTCCCCAGGACTTCTGCGAATCCTTCAGGATTCTTTTGGATTCCCGAGGACCTATTCGGACTCTCTAGATCTCCAAGGATTCCTTTGGACCCCCCAGGATTCCTAAGGATTCCTCAGGAACCATTCCGCGGGTCCCCCGAGGATTCCTCAGGATCCTCCAGGATGCCTCAGGCTTCTTCCGGAGTCCCCAGGATTCCTCAGGATCCCCCAGGAATTCTTGGGATCCCAAGTGATTATTCAGGATCTCCCCATGTGGTTGTCTGGTTTTAAAGTGGCTTGTTCGTTTTTGCATGTTATTTTTCCGGGTCGTCGTGCTGTGGTTGGCTTCTTGTTCTCTCGCGTGGCACGGGCTGGCTCCGACCTGTTCTTGCGAGCTCTCGACGCCGAGCGTCTTCGGCTCTCCAGCACGGTGCTCCCGCTGCAGCAGGGGCTTCGCCCTTGGACAGGGGGCCGTGCTCCCGTCGTTCCGCGTGGCGCTCTCGCCGCACCGCGGGCCATGTCTCGGGATCCGAGTCCTTCCTCGTTGTTGCCCTCCCCCCCCCCCTCCCTCCTGCTCCCCTCCTCCGCCCTCCCTGCTCCTCCTGCTCCCACCTCTGGCTCCGTTTCGCTCGAGTTCCTGCTGCTGCTGCTGCTCTTCCTCGTCCTCTTCCTCTTTCCTCCTCCTCCTCCTCCTCCTCCTCCTCCTCCTCCTCCTCTCTCATTTCCCGATTCCGCCTAGCACAATTGGGGGTCTTTTTTTGAAGTTCCAGGTCCGCCATGACACGCGTCCGCGAATACAGGCAACTCAGCGCCATGGGAAGGGAAGGCAGGACGGGTGGGAGGGGGACGATGCCAGATATGGCGCGAGCGCACATCGCTTGGCACTCCGCCATTTCTCTTCCCTCCCCTCCCTTCTACCTCTTCCCTTATCGTTCTGCCGTCCTCCCTTCTCCCTCCCTCCGCCACGCCTCCATAGGGACACTGCCCAAGATGCACCTGCTTCAGTCGTCCCCGCCTGCCTTTGTGACCCTTACCTCCCCCCTTCTCATTTGCAGCCCCTGCTTCCTCTCCTTTCCATCATCTCTCCCCTTCACGCATAGGCAGAGCACAAGACCTGCCGCAGCCATTTAGGTTCGAGCACTTTGGGCTCAACCGTCTGTCACGTGCCACCGTGCCTCGCTGAGCTATCCCGGGAGTCCGGTCGCTTGTTGGTCGTCGCGCTGCCCGCCACGATGACGACCAGCGGCGTGTGGAACCCCAAGGAGCAGGGCTTCGAGATGCAGCGGAAGTCGTCCTTCTCGCTCCTCTCCGAGGAGGTGACGCGCCCCAAACCGCAGGGAGCATCCGATAAGCTCTGGAAGCTGATGAAGCATTACGAGGCGAACGACCCCGAGTCCATCCAGAAGTCCTTTGCGCGCCACCTGGAATACTCGCTGGCGTGCACCCGCTTCAGCTACACCATGGAGGATGCTTACCGTGCTGCCGGCCTCGTTCTGCGCGACCGCCTGATGGAGTCCCTGAACGACACCAACGACTGGTACGAGAAGCAGGACGTGAAGCGCGCGTACTACCTGTCCGCGGAGTACCTGATCGGCCGCCACATGCAGAACGCCATCGCCAACCTCGACTTGGAGCAGCCCTTCAAGGACGCCTTCATGGATCTCGGGATGAAGCTGGAGGACCTGACCGAGCAGGAGGACGACCCCGCCCTGGGCAACGGCGGCCTCGGCCGCCTGGCCGCCTGCTTCCTGGACTCCATGGCCACGCTGTCGCTGCCGATCTGGGGCTACGGCATCCGCTACAGCTACGGCATGTTCAAGCAGTACATCGAGAACGGCCGGCAGGTCGAGCGCCCCGACTTCTGGCTGGGGAACGGGTGCCCCTTCGAGATCCCGCGGCCGGACACGATCTACCCGGTGCGCTTCGGGGGCCACACGGAGGAGGGCGCCGACGCCAGCGGCAACTTCTGCATCAGGTGGGTGGGGGGCGAGATCGTCCAGGCCATGGCCTACGACAACCCCATCCCGGGGTTCGACACCTTCAACACCAACAGCCTGCGCCTCTGGCGTGCCCTGCCCTCCACGGAGTTCGACCTCGACTCGTTCAGCGACGCCAAGTTCACCGACGCGGTGGAGGCGCGGCGCCGTGCCGAGGACCTCTCGGCCGTGCTCTACCCGAACGACGCGACGTACGAGGGCAAGGAGCTGCGCCTGCGGCAGCAGTACTTCTTCGTCAGCGCCTCCCTGCAGGACATCCTGCGCAGGTTCATGAAGCGCCCCAACTTCAAGTGGGAGGAGCTCCCCGAGAAGGTCGCCGTGCAGATGAACGACACCCACCCCACCATCGCCGTCGTGGAGGTCATGCGCCTGCTCGTGGACGTGAAGCAGGTGCCCTGGGATCAGGCCTGGGAGTTGACCAAGAAGTCCCTGAATTACACCAACCACACCGTCATGCCCGAGGCCCTCGAGAAGTGGCCTGTGGAGATGATGGAGCGGCTGCTGCCGCGCCACGTGCAGCTCATCGGCGAGATCAATCTGCGCTGGTGCCAGGAACTGTCCAAGAGGTACGGTGACGGACCCATGGTCACCAATCTGAGCATCTTCGAGGAGGGAGAGACGAAGAACATCCGCATGGGCAACCTTGCCATCATGGGGTCCAGCAAGGTCAACGGCGTGGCCGCCATTCACACAGAGATCATTCTAGCGGCCTGAGCCATTCCGCCGATCCCCGGACGAAGGAATACGTTACGGTGTCCTTGGTTGCCTGGCTGTCCCTGGGACGGCAGCGACGACGAAGATGCTGCTGATGGTGATGATGATGGTGGTGGTGGTGGTGGTGGTGATAATGATGACGATGATGATGCTGATGATGATGATGCTGATGGTGATCATCATCACGATGGCGATGACGATGACGATGATGATGGCGACGACGGTGATGCTCTGGATGATGACGATGACGACGATGATGTTGATTGTGATGCGAATGATGCTGCAGACGACGATGATGATGATGATGATGATGATGATGATGATGATGATGATGATGATGATGATGATGATGATGCTGACAATGATGATGATACTGATGATGATGATGATGATGAGGATGATGATGATGATGATGATGATGACACTGATGATGGTGATGGTGATGGTGATGGTGATACTGATGCCGCTGACGATGCTGATGATGATGATGACGATGCTGGTGTTGCCTGCGCTGCCGACGATGACGATGTCGATGCCGATTATGATGATGCTGATCATGATGCTGCTGATGATGCTGATCATGCTGATGCTTATGGTGGTGGTGGTGGTGGTGATGTTGATCATTATGATGATGATGATGATGATGATGATGATGATGATGCTGATGATGATGATGATGACGATGATGATGATGATGAGCATGATGATGCTGATGATGATGAAGAAGAAGACGACGTCGTCGACGACGACGGCGATGATTATGGTGATGCTGTTGCCGCTGCTTATTGTGATGCTGGTGCTGATGCTGATCACGACGATGATGCTGATGATGCTGAAGCTGATGATGATGCTGTTAACGCTTGTGATGATGATTGTGTTGGTGGTGGTGATGATGATGAGGATGGTGATGACGACGACGATGATGATGCTGATTATGATCATGATGTTGACGACGACGACGACGATGCTGATAATGCTGGTGGTGATAATAATGATGGTGATGCTGATGATGCTGCTGATGATGATGATGCTGATGCTGATGATGATGCTGAAGCTGATGATGATGACGACGAGGCTGATGACGATGATGATGCTTATGACGCTTCTGATGATGCGGATGGTGATGACGACGACGATGATGAAGACGACGATTATGATGCTGCTGATTATGACGAGGATGATGGTGATGGTGATGGTGATGCCGACGATGATGATTATGATGATGATGCTGATGATGATGATGATGATGCTGATCATGATGATGATGATGATGACGATGATCATGATGCTGATGATGGTGATGATGATCATGATGATGCTGACAAGGCTGATGATGATGAGGATGCTGATGCTGATACTGAAGATGATGATGCAGCTGCTGCTGCTGAGGCTGACGACGAAGATGATGATGATGATGATGATGGTGATGATGACGATGATGCTGATGATGATGATGATGATGCTGATGCTGCTGATGATGATGATGATGATGATGATGATGAGGGTGATGATGATGATGATGATGATGATGATGATGATTATGCTGATGATGATGATGCAGCTGCTGCTGCTGAGGCTGACGACGAAGATGATGATGATGGTGATGATGCTGATGATGCTGATGATGATGATGATGATGGTGCTGATGCTGCTGATGATGATGATGATGAGGGTGATGATGATGATGATGATGATGATGATGATGATGATGATGCTGATGATGATGATGATGCTGATGATGCTGATGATGCTGATGATGATGATGATGATGATGATGATGAGTCTGATTTCTGTGGTGGTGGTGATGATGATGGTGGTGGTGATGATAATGATGATGATGCGTATGCTGCTGCTGATGAGGATGCTGATGATGCTGCTGCGGATGATGATATTGATGACGATGACGACGAGGATGATCTTGATGGTGGTGGTGATGATGAGGAGGAGGAGGATGAGGAGGAGTTGACCATGATTATATGGAGGAGGAGGAGGAAGAGGGGATGAACATGTTCGAGTATTTTTCAGTGGGTGAACGCAGAAGGGCTGTCAATGTTTTTCTCATGCTCGCCGAGCCAAGTGAAGCGTATGCAATAACAGGCCCACGCGTTCCGAATTCGAGGCGGATGAGAATGAGGAGGAGGCGGAGGAGGAGGAGGAAGAGGTGGAGGAGGAGGAGGAAGAGGAGGAGGAGGAGGAGGAGGAGGAGGAGGAGGAGGAGGAGGAGGAGGAGGGAGGAGAAGGGCGGAGGAAAAGGAGGAGGAGCAGGAGGAGGAGGAGGAGGAGGAGGAGGAAAAGGAGGAGGAGGGCCATGAGAAGGAGAATGACGGCATGAGATGACGGGTGGTGACCGCGTGATCGTCGACTAAACGCCCGCGGAGCCGAAGTCATGGTGACCCCCCCAGCAGAACGAGTAGGCAGTTCTCCCATTCATCGAGTGTTCGGGGGTGCGGCCTTGACAAGCGTGTAGTCGAATTTTTGGGCATGGAGGCTTTTTTGGAGCCTCGTTGGGGCCACTCTTGGTGCCCTCTTGCGGCCTCTTTGAGCCACCCTGGCCTCCCTGTGGGGGCTTTGGAGACTTTCAGAGCTGTCTGGGGTACTCTTGGGGCCGTCCTGGAACCGTATCTAGGCCGTCCTGAAGGCCTAGTTGGAGCTGGGGCACTATTCGGACAATCTTGGTTGGGGGCACCTCGGATCGTCTTGGTGTCTCTTCGAGGCCTGTTGGACTCTCTCCAAGTCCTCTGGAGCCCATCTTGCGGCCTTCTTGAGCCACAAGGCGGTGACTGCCAGATCCTGACAAACACCTGAGCGATTTGGATGACTTGTGGCTCTCGGGGCCCTCTGCCGAATCATCTTGGAGCCTCTGGTTCTGGTGGCGTCTTGTCGCAATTTTCGGGCCTGTTGGGGCCACTCCAGAGCCAAGTTTATCAGTTCTGGGCCCTGTTGGGGGCCATCTTGGGTCTTGCTCTGTCTTGAAGTCCCTGGGGGGCGCTGTGGGCTGTTCTGGCAGCTCTCACGGCCTGAAGGGTGCGCTGGTGAGCTCCCTGCTCGCCCCGTGTGACGGGGGACTTTGGTTTCCTTGGAAGGGGGGGGGGCGTGCATGGGAGCGGCTTGTCACCCCCTTGCCAAGCGAGGGTCGGCGGATCAAGAAGGAGACCTTCCCCGAGTACTACCGATACTGCTGCGACACGGGGAAGCCGGACACCATCGTCAACATGACCAACGGCGTGACTCCGAGGCGCTGGGTCCACTGTGCAAACCCAGCCCTCAGCGAGATCTTCACGAAGCACCTGGGTTCACAGAAGTGGCTCACCGACATGACCCTTCTTAAGGATATCATCAAGAAGAAAGACGACCCCGCGCTGCACAAGGAGTGGATGGCGATGAAGAAGGGTTGCAAGGAGAAGCTTGCCGTTTTCCTTAAGAAGCGGATAGGCCTGGACATGGACACCGACATGTTGATCGACATCCAGATCAAGCGCATCCACGAGTACAAGCGCCAGCTCATGAACATCCTCTTCGTCATTCACCGGTACCAGGCTCTCAAGAAGATGTCTCCCGCCGAGCGCAGCGGCGTGCAGAAGCGCATGGTTCTCATCGGAGGCAAGGCGGCCTCGGCGTACCGCAATGCCAAGATCATCATCAAGCTGATCAACAATGTGTCGAAGGTGATCAACAACGATCCTGACACGTCGCCGTTCTTGAAGTGCGCCTTCGTCCCGAACTACTGCGTGACCGCGGCGGAGGTCATGGTCCCCGCCTCGGACATCTCGGAGCACATCTCCACGGCCGGCACCGAGGCCAGCGGCACCTCGAATATGAAGTTCGTCATGAATGGCGGCCTCATCGTCGGCACCATGGACGGCGCCAACATCGAGATCCGCGAGGAGGGCGGCGAGGATACCATGTTCATCTTCGGCGCACTGGAACACGAGGTCCCCGCCATCAGCGCCCGCGCCAAGGCGGGCGACTACCCCATCGATCCCCGCCTGCAAGCGGTGTTCGACGCTATCAGGGGCGACCAGTTCTCGCAGGGCGAGCCACACGCGCACGGCGAGTTCTGCGAGATCGTGGACAAGCTCTGCAACGTCCACGCCGCGGGCACCTGGGAGGGCGACAGGTACCTGGTGATCCACGACTTCCCCTCGTTCGTGGACGCGCAGGCGCGCGTCGATGCTATCGAAGACGCCTGCGGCGGATCGCCGCCGCCTCCCCGCCTTTTCGTAGCGCCCATGCGGCCAATCATTGGGCCGAAACCCTGCCAAGCTATTGTGTTCCCCAGCCGTTGTGAAGCCCATTTGGGGAAAACTGGGGAGAGATCTAGAAAGAAGGTGAGACGGAGAAGTAGGAGGAGGAGGAGGAGGAGGAGGAGGAGGAGGAGGAGGAGGAGGAGGCGGAATAGGAGGAGGAGGAGGGCGGAAGAGGAGGAGGAGGAGGACGAGGAAGAGGAGGAGGAGGAGCAGGAGCAGGAGGAGGAAGATGAGGAGGGAGCGGAGGAGGAGGCCTCATGAGGCCTTCTGGGTGCCTCCTGGGTGCCTCCTGGGTGCCTCCTGGGAGCCTCTTTTGGGGGTCTTTACGGGGCCTCTTCGGGGCATCTGGGGGCGTCTATGGGACCTCTTGGCCTTCGGAGGCTTTCTCGGGGCTCCCTCTGGTCCCTCTTTGTGTGCTTTAGGGCTGCCTTGGGTGTCTCTGGGGCCGTCTTGGGTGCCTCTTGGCCCGTCTTGGGGCCCTCTTGGGCCGTCTTGCGGGCGTCTTGGGGGCCTCTTGGGCCGTCTTGGGGAGATCTTGGAGGCCTATGGGGCCGTCTTCATGAAGCGTTGGAAACCCGAAACGACCAGAACGTTGAACACATTGAAGCACCTATGGAACATCGGCGATTTTGGCCTGGAGGTCCTCTTGCAGCCCTCTTGGGGCGTCTTGGGGGCTTCTTGGGCCGTCTGTAGGACATCTTGGGCTATCTTGAGCCATCTTGGCCGTCTTGGGGGCGTCTTGGAGGCGTCTTGGGACCATCTTTGAGGCCATCTTGGCCGTCCTGGAGCCATCTTAGCCATCTTGGAGGCCATCTTGGCCGTCTTGGAGGCGATTTGGCCAATGGAACACGTACTTGCGGCGGCGTCGTGGGTCCTTCTTGGTGGTTGGCGGGATCGGCCGCAGGCCCACCGGGATCCTCTCAAAGGTCCAAAGGCTGCCCAAAGTTTAGCACGCCGTGCACGCCCTGTGGCAAGCCAGCAGGGGGCGGCGGATGACGGAAAGCGCGCATTAGCGTGCGGTCCGTTAGTCGGGAGAAATTGGACTTGGGGGAGTTCGAGGTTCTTAGAACATTTTTGGCGGGGGCTGTCTTTGTTTTGACACATTGGCTGCATGTTCTAAGAACCTGGTTCTTGTTCTTAAACTTTTTTTGGGGCTCGAAGAACATTCCGTGGTAGGTCAATGGGAACGCCGGGACGGTCGGTCCCTGCTTAACAAGTGCAAGCGCCGTACGATCAAATCTTGACCGAGGACGGCGGCGACGGGCAGCCACAAGCGGGCCCGACCGGCAATCAGGCCCCAATCTCGGGGCTCAAGGGACGGGGGTCAATCCAAACGGGGGGAGGAGGAGGAGGAGGAGGAGGAGGAGGAGGAGGAGGAGGAGGAAGAGGAAAAGGAGGAGGAGGAGGAGTCAGTCAGAGCGCAGGATCTTCCGGAGTCCTGCAGAGCCAGGGGTGCATCGACCCAGCGCTGGGTGCAGAATGCTGTAGGACTTCGCAGGATCTTGCAGGATCTTGCAAAGCCTGACTGGCCCGGGTCTGGATTGACCCGGGTCAGACGATCCCCGACAATTGAACTCGTGACCACGGACGGTGTCTACGGGCAGCGACGGGCGGCCACAAGTTGGCCGGACAGACGCCCAGCTCCTTATAAGAGAAGTAAGAGTCCATCAATGCAAGCACTGTTAGGGGAGCGATTTTAGCATCCAGGGGCCCTCTTGGGGGCCTTCTTGGAGCCCTCTTGGGGCGTCTTGGGGGCCTCTTGGGTCGTCTCTGGGCCACCTTGGGAGTCTTGGAGCGACATTTGGGCGACTTGGACCGGCTTGGGGGCCTCTTGGGCCTTCTCGGCCCGTCTTCGGGGCCCTCGGGCCCCTGGAAACGTCACGCGGGGAAGCCCGGGAGCGCGCGAGAGCGCCAGGAAGATTTCGGCTTTTGGGCTCTCTGCCCCTAGCTTGAATGTTTGTGATATTGAATACAGACTGCAGAGAACTCTAGAAGCCTGGAGAACACTCCACTTCGTGCCTCGAGGCACGGTAGCGGATCTTTTCCAAGGACAAGGCCAAGTGGTGCTCGCTGAGCATCAAGGCTGCAGCGTCCATGGCCAAATTCTCCACCGACCGCACGATCTCCGAATACTCCAGCGTCATCTGGGGCGTCAAGCCAGCACCTCGCCCAGTGGAAGCCGCAGCAACCAGCACGAAGGCTCCAGGTCCTAACGGCCAAGCTGCTGCTCCGAAGAAGCAGACGCCGGGGCCCGAAGCCAAGGCGGCTGCTCTAGAGAAGAAGAACTGAGGCACTTCAACTGGCTATGCAGAGCGAGCGGCCCAGCTTGAATGAACGGTGGTCAGGAGCAGCGTTTAAGCTGCACGTGTTGATTTCCCACCTCATACCTGAATTTCAACTTTTTATCCCCCTTTCTCCGCCACCTCACCTGCCCCTTCTCGTCGTCTTCCTCCATCTTCCCTCAGGCGTTGTGCCCTCTTTTGATTTGCAGAAGGGCACCTGGGCTCAGGGCAGCTAACTTAGTGTTGCAAACGGTCTTCCATGAATTGGGCTTTCTGGCTCGGCACGGCATGGTGGCAGGGGTTCGGCTCACAGGCAGCCGGCTGATCAATCGTTGCTCGAAATTTGCACCGCCATGTCTGGAACCCGGGGGAGAAAGCGTACGGAGGTGAGTCTCTCGAGGCTGCCTCAGAGGGTTGCGCACTCACGCGTTGCCGCATCGGACATACTCTCAGTGCATCTTCTGGGGTCGCAAGAGCGGCACAGGGGGAGTGCGTTCCCCATGGTACGTCGAACAGCCATTTAGGTTCGAGCACTTTGGGCTCAACCGTCTGTCACGTGCCACCGTGAGCTATCCCGGGAGTCCGGTCGCTTGTTGGTCGTCGTGCTGCCCGCCGCAATGACGACCAGCGGCGTGTGGAACCCCAAGGAGCAGGGCTTCGAGATGCAGCGGAAGTCGTCCTTCTCGCTCCTTTCCGAGGAGGTGACGCGCCCCAAACCACAGGGAGCATCTGATAAGCTCTGGAAGCTGATGAAGCATTACGAGGCGAACGACCCCGAGTCCATCCAGAAGTCCTTTGCGCGCCACCTTGAATACTCGCTGGCGTGCACCCGCTTCAGTTACACCATGGAGGACGCTTACCGTGCTGCCGGCCTCGTTCTGCGCGACCGTCTGATGGAGTCCCTGAACGACACGAACGACTGGTACGAGAAGCAGGACGTGAAGCGCGCGTACTACCTGTCCGCGGAGTATCTGATCGGCCGCCACATGCAGAACGCCATCGCCAACCTCGACTTGGAGCAGCCCTTCAAGGACGCCTTCATGGATCTCGGGATGAAGCTGGAGGACCTGACCGAGCAGGAGGACGACCCCGCCCTGGGCAACGGCGGCCTCGGCCGCCTGGCCGCCTGCTTCCTGGACTCCATGGCCACGCTGTCGCTGCCGATCTGGGGCTACGGCATCCGCTACAGCTACGGCATGTTCAAGCAGTACATCGAGAACGGCCGGCAGGTCGAGCGCCCCGACTTCTGGCTGGGGAACGGGTGCCCCTTCGAGATCCCGCGGCCGGACACGATCTACCCGGTGCGCTTCGGGGGTCACACGGAGGAGGGCGCCGACGCCAGCGGCAACTTCTGCATCAGGTGGGTGGGGGGCGAGATCGTCCAGGCCATGGCCTACGACAACCCCATCCCAGGGTTCGACACCTTCAACACCAACAGCCTGCGCCTCTGGCGTGCCCTGCCCTCCACGGAGTTCGACCTCGACTCGTTCAGCGACGCCAAGTTCACCGACGCGGTGGAGGCGCGGCGCCGTGCCGAGGACCTCTCGGCCGTGCTCTACCCGAACGACGCGACGTACGAGGGCAAGGAGCTGCGCCTGCGGCAGCAGTACTTCTTCGTCAGCGCCTCCCTGCAGGACATCCTGCGCAGGTTCATGAAGCGCCCCAACTTCAAGTGGGAGGAGCTCCCCGAGAAGGTCGCCGTGCAGATGAACGACACCCACCCCACCATCGCCGTCGTGGAGGTCATGCGCCTGCTCGTGGACGTGAAGCAGGTGCCCTGGGATCAGGCCTGGGAGTTGACCAAGAAGTCCCTGAATTACACCAACCACACCGTCATGCCCGAGGCCCTCGAGAAGTGGCCTGTGGAGATGATGGAGCGGCTGCTGCCGCGCCACGTGCAGCTCATCGGCGAGATCAATCTGCGCTGGTGCCAGGAACTGTCCCAGAGGTACGGTGACGGACCCATGGTCACCAATCTGAGCATCTTCGAGGAGGGAGAGACGAAGAACATCCGCATGGGCAACCTTGCCATCATGGGGTCCAGCAAGGTCAACGGCGTGGCCGCCATTCACACAGAGATCATTCTAGCGGCCTGAGCCATTCCGCCGATCCCCGGACGAAGGAATACGTTACGGTGTCCTTGGTTGCCTGGCTGTCCCTGGGACGGCAGCGACGACGATGCTGCTGATGGTGATGATGATGGTGGTGGTGGTGGTGGAGGTGATGGTGGTGATACTGATGATGATGGTGGTGGTGATGATGATGACGACGATGATGACGATGACGATGCTGATAGCGGTGACGATCATGATGCTGATAATGATGGTGGTGGTGATGATGACGATGGTGGTGGTGGTGAGGGTAACGTTTGTGATGATTGCGATGACGATGATGATGATTCTGCTGATGATGATACAGACGGCGGTGCTGATGCTGCTGATGATGACGATGATGTTGATTGTCACGCGGATGATGCAGCTGCTGCTGATGATGTTGATGATGACGACGATACTGGTGAGGATGATGATGGTGATTCTGAATGGTGATGGTGATAATGATGCCGCTGACGATGCCGCTGATGATGATGCTGGCGGTGGCTGCGCTGCCGACGATGACGATGACGATCCCGATGATGATGCAGATGATGATGACGATGATGATGATGCTGATGGTGATGCAGATGCTGATGATAATGATACTGATGATGCTGATGATGATGATGGTGATGGTGATGATGCTCATGATGGTGATTGTGATGATGGTGATGATGATGAGCTGGTGTTGGTGATGATGATAATGATGGTGGTGATGATGGTGGTGGTGATGGCGGTGATACTGGCGGTGGTGGTGGTGACGATACTGACGATGATGATGAGGATGGTGATGCTGATGATGATGACGACGAAGACGATGATGATGATGATGATGATGATGATGATGGTGGTGATGATGATGATGATGCTGATTACGACGACGACGATGACGATGATGATGATGCTGATGACGATGACGATGATGACGACGATTGCGACGATGATGCTGCCGATGGTGATGCTGATGATGATGATACTTGCGATGCTGACGATGCTGATGCTGATGCTGTTGATGATGTTGGTTGTGATAATGGTAATGCTGACGATGATGATGCTGATGATGAGGAGGATGATGATTTCGATGATGATGATGATGATGATGATGATGATGATGGTGATGGTGATGATGATGCTGATGATGATGCTGATGATGATGACGATTACGATGCTGATGATGACGATGATGCTGGTACTGCTGCTGCTGCTCATGATGCTGATGCTGATGCTGCTGATGATGATGGTGATGCTGATGATCATGATGATGATGATGATCATGATGATGCAGATGCTGTTGCGGATGCTGCTGCTGTTGCTGCTGATGAGGACGTTGCTGATGATGATGCTGGCGATGGTGATGATGATAGTATGGTGATGGTGGTGCTGGTGGTTACACTGCTGCTGATGATGCTGACGTTGATGATGATAATGATGATGATGATGATGATGATGATGATGATGATGATGATGATGATGCTGATGATGCTGATGATGATGGTGACAGTGATGCTAATGATGATGATGATGATGATGATGATGATGATGATGATGATGATGATGATGATGATGATGATGATGATGATGAAGATGATGCTGATGATGATGATGATGAGGAAGAAAATGATGATGATGATGATGATGATGATGATGCTGATAATGATGATGATGATGATGATGATGATGATGATGATGATGATGATGATGATGATGATGATGATGCTGCTGATGATGGTGGGCGATCATCGTGCAACGTTGAATCGCGGTCACGAAGCCGCGGGGCGGGCGCCCCCACCCCAGCCCCTATGCTTGGGCGAACGGAAGGGGGCGCTGCGCGACGCGCAGCGGCGCGGGGTGATGCGTGCCCAAGCGTTGAGTGTGAGGCGTCGCGCAGTCCGCCCTCCTTGCATGGGCGAGCGCGCGAGGGGGCGTGTGCGCCGCCCAGGGAGGGGAGGGGCGTCGCGCACGCACGGTTGGTGGGGGTGTCCCGTCGCACTCGGCGAGGGGCCTCTGCGGTGCGGCTTTTGCCCGCCCACCGTGGCCGTGCGTGCGGGCGCCGTCGCGCGCTTGTCCATGTGACGTGCAATGTCCGGGTGCGGCACTCCGCACGTGTGAGGCGCGTGTCCTCGGCTCACTGGTGGCCGCTGCTCCGCGCGTGTGTTGCGCGTTCTGGCTCTTCGTGGCACGTTCTGCCCTTTTGTGGCACCTGCACGTGCCGGGCGTGTGTCCAAGGCTCATTGGTGGTCGCTGCTCCGCACGTGTGAGGCGTGTGTCAGGCCCTTGGTGGCATGTTCTGCCCGGGTGTGGCACTATGCGCGTGTGATGCGTGTATCCCCGGCTCATCTGCGGCCGCAGTTCCGCGCGCGTGAGGTGTGTATCTGGCCCTTGGTGGCACTTTTGCCCGTGTGTGGCACGCCCGTGTGTGGCACCTTGCACGTGCGAGGCGTGTTCCCTCGGCTCATCAGTGGCCGCAATTCCGCACCTGTAAAGCGTGCGTTTGGCCCTTTGTGGCGCGTCTGCCCGTATGTGGCACGCCCGTGTGTGGCACCTTGCATGTGTGAGGGGTATCGTCGGCTCACGGATGGCCGCACATCCGCCCGTGTGTGGCGCGGGTTTGGCCCTTTTGTGGCGCGTTTTGCCCGTGTGTGGCGCGCCCGTGTGTGGCATTTGAACGTGTGAGGCGTGTTTCTTCGGCTCATGTTGGCCGCAAATCCGCGCGTGTCAGGCGTGCGTCTGGCACTCCGTGGCGCGTTCTGCCCGTGTGTGGCTCTTGGCACGTGTGAGGCGTGTGTCAGTGCCTCATTGGTGGCCGCGAGTCTGCCCGTGTGTGGCGTGTGTCCGTCCCTCTGTGGCACGCTCCGTCCGTGCGTGGCATCTTGCGCGAGGCGTGTATCTCGGCTCATTGGTGGCCGCAACTCCGCCCGTGTGAGGCGTGGCGTGTGCTTGGCCCTGTGTGGCACGTTCTGCCCGCGCGTGGCCCTGTGCACGCGTGATGTGTGTATCCTCGGCTATTGGTGGCCGCAATTCCGCGAGTGTGGGAAGTATCGCGTTCCGCCCGCGTCGTCCGCGCAGTGTGTAGCTGATCAGCGGGAGAGGTCCGGTTTCGCACTCGCGCGGGCGTCATGGCCGCTTTGTCGTTTCCTGCTTGGATGGCCAAGGCCGAGTCCGAGGTCCCGCGAGGGGATGAGTTCTACAAGAGTTTGGCCGAGGCGCTGAAGCATAATGACGTGACTCACTGGGCCCACCTGATCGAAGTGGATCCGAGTTCGCTGAAGGGCCTCGACTCGGCTGGAAGGGTGAGCGCTCGACGCGCGGTGGCTGCTGGCCTGCCGATGCGGTCTGGCAGGTGGGATGCGTCGAGGCATTGGCTCGCGCGGCTCGCGAGCAGAAAAGGCCCGGGCCAGGGGCAGCTTGCGCCAGTGGCAGGGGATCTGCCCCGCCTCGAAGAAGCGCTGCGTTCCGGGCGCGAACCGACCGCCAAGCACGTGGCGATTGGACCCGCCATTCACCAGGCGTCCCTCCGCGATCTGCCACTGTCCTTCTGGCCATCATCTGCGGCGGTCGACGCCCTGGAGGCCGGGGCAGCAAAGCTTCGGCGCGAGGGCGTGGCCCGCCCGTGTGTGTCGCCGGGCCTCGGGGCGAGATCGCTCTGCGCGCGCCCGCGCGGCGCGCCCCGTTGGCGTGCGTGGGGGGTTTTCCTGCCGTTCTGGGCTTCGGGTAAAGCGCCGGGGGCGGAGGCGGGCCTCTCGGGGGCCGCGGTCCAGAAAGGGCTGCTGCCGTTCAACCAGTGGCACCCGGCTTTCGATGCGCGCGCGGCCGCGGCAGCGATCTTGGGCGACCAGCCGAGCTTCATGTCGCTTTGGTGTCACAAGCAGCACGTGGTGCAGGTGCTTTTTGCCCGAAGCTCGCGGCGGCGCGGCCCCGCGCTGGCGTGGCGCAGGTGGCCGCGCGTGCGAATTTGCTTAACGGGCGGCCGCGCCTGGCGTTGCACTTCGACGCGGTGGTGCGCCGCTCGTGGGCAGAGAGATCCAGGGCGGGAGACCCGACCGTCGGGGCTCTGCTGTGTGTGTGTGTGCGTGTGTGCGTGTGTGCGTGTGTGTCTGTGTCTGTTTCTGTGTCTGTGTGTGTGTGTGTGTGTGTGTGTGTGTGTGTGTGTGTTTTGCGCCCGGCCCAGCTTCCGCCTCGCGTTGAAGGTGAGCCGCGCTGCGCAGACGCGGGGCGAGGGCTTGGCGCGCGCGGCCGTAGCCGCGCGCGACGCGGCGGAGTGCAAGCCGGCGAAGGCATCGACACCTCGTCAGGGGCCCCCAGCGGGGAGCAACCGCGGAGGCAAGGGGGGCCGGGCGAGCGACCGCCGCGGCGAGTGGTACCCGGCTGCGGGGTCTGCCGCGAGCGGGCGCCGCGGCGGCCGGGGCAGCCGCGGGAGCTGGGGCGCCGGGAACCGGAGCAAGTGAAAGAGCGAGAGGTCCAGCAAAGGGGGCCGCAAGGGCAAGCGTGGCAACCCGGCGGCGCCGAGGGCGCCCGAGAAGCGCGCCAAGCGCATCGTTCGGAGTCGTGGGGGGGCCGCGCCTGCCGACCGCGCTCGCGCCGCCCTCCAGGCATCGGGCCAGTGCAGAGCGCGATGGAGGAGCCAGCTGCCCAGCGAGTGAGCGTTGCCGCGCGCGACGTGAGTGCCAGGGGGCGATGCGGGCCCCCAGACCGCACTGACAATGTGCAAGGGGAGGCGCAGGCACATTTTGCGCCATTGCTGCATGAGGCGTCCTCGGCGGGTGCAGCCAAGGATATGCCGAAACTCGAATTCGGGCGCGGCGAGTTGGGATCTGCCCGCGCGCGGCCGGCTTTCCCTGTTGCCGATAAAGGAATTCGTGACATATTCGCGCGGCCCGCGGCGTCCGGCCCCAGCGATATTGCGCGCGCGAGGGAGGGTTGGACCAGCGACGTTGAACGCCTTGGCCGCTCGTTTGAAGACAGCGGCGAGGCGGGGGAATGGCGCAGGCAGGCGCCGC